AAAAAAAATGCAATAAAAAATGCTTATTTTGTTCACCAGCAGCAAGCACCAGTCCATAATGGTGTAAACAATACTGTAATCTAGTCAGCTATGTGTGGTAATTGTTGCACGGTCAGGTTCTACACCAAATTCAACACATTACTGTAATTAATAGTTGAATGGACTCTTAAGGTTCTGTTTCAAACGTACATATAAAGATACATGTAGCAATACATGTATGTGTTGCTGGGGATATGTATATACATGTATGCCAATTAAAATTCAACCTCAATGGATTTTCAACCTTAAAACAGTCTGTCCCTTTGGCTTTATGGTGTAAAGCTAAGGACATCTTCTCCTCTGGAGTAGTTTCCCAGGAGTCTTTGGCCTGCAAGACAAAAGGACTTGCTTTGCACTTTTTACATTTTTTAACAATCGATCTACAAAATATATATTTCACAATAATTATTAACAACAAGAACACAGAAACAAAAAATACAATACCACAAGTGCATTGTGCTTCCAAAGAGTTACAGTAAGTAAGTTACAAATAACGTGAACATATGTAACAAATGGATAAAAAGTACAAGCCCGCACTGTATGTTATCGTACACAGATGAAATGTAATTTTAAATATGACTCAACGTAAAATGATACAGTTATAATTTGTGGACAGTAAGTCTGCAAATCAATTTGAAAATTGGCAGACTCAAGTTTGCTCCTTTCTTACAGTTAACAAGTTGACAGCACTTAGTGCTATTGTTCTTTGTCTAAACAAAGTTATAAAAAGAAAAAAAAAAGAATAACATAAGTGCAAACTGACTTCAAAAATGCCAACCTAAGAAAATGAAAATCTGTCAGATCACAGATTTTACTTCCTCTAGGGGCCTAAAAACAAAATGTTACTAAAGGAGCAAAGCTCTGTCGCTTCCACCTCCGCCAATTTGCACTGTACTGGTTGATTTACAGTACCGTTACTTGACATACCTTAGAGAAGCAGAGGAGTTCCACCTCACATTTGAGATCCCTCTCAGAGGCTACACAAACTTCCTGGTCAAATGATTCACTTCTATATGGTATGACACAGATTTCTTCAGCATGCATGCATTCTAAGCACTTGTCCAAGCTATCTGATGCTTCACTGTCCCCTGAAAAAAATACAGATTTGTCTTTAGGCTCAGTCCAACTGCCACTCCACTCAGGTTGCACAACTAGCTCAATAAAGTTAAGCTTTGCAGCAAGGTCGTTTTCATTTGACATCCCTGTATTCATTTTGCAGAAAGCAATGGAAGTCATGCAAATTATTGATCAGGCAAGTAGTGGTGTAACAATTAATTGAATTCTCGATTAATCGCGATTATGACCATTCGGTTCAATTCATGATTCTTTGATTCCACGTTTCGATTTTGGTTCGATTATTTGCATACCTTTCCCAGAATGCCCTCAGTGAGTTATTATATTGTGAAATTAGAATCCTGAACTCTTTAAAATGTGCGTTTTTGATTGATGAGTAAAGACATTTGCAATTCGTGTACCATTTTGTGTTGTTGTTTACATTGTGTATCATGTTGTTAGAATTAAAAACCATTAATATTTTGTATAATCGAATTGAAATAATCGAAATCGAAAGGCAATAATTGAAATTGAATCAAATCAAAGGAATATGAATTGTTACAAGCCTACAGGTAAGTTGTACACTGAGAATATTAAAACTCTATTCAAACTGACAAACTAACTATTTTATGTTGCCCATAAAAGAAATACAGTATGGAATAGTGACTTCTCTTTAAATTACTGGAAAATTATAGTCATCAACAGCCAGGAGAAGAATTTTAGGCTGCAATATTTTTTATTCTTCAGTGAAGTGGTAGATGTTATAGATACTTTACACTCAAATTTCTGCTCTACTCTCTCTTTCCTTTCCCCCTCCTTCTACTTCTACTCCTGAAAATCTTTATGGCATGTATTACCCTCCTATATATAGTTAAATGAAATTTAACATAGTTAATGACTAGGAGCTAGTCTGGTCAGTAGCGTTGTTATAGGCGGTTGTTAGTGTCTTGGCCATCTGTGAGCGTTTGGTTAGCGTTTGATGCGTTTTGTAGCTTTTGATATAGTTCAATGAAATTTTACATAGTTTATGACCAGGAGCGAGTCTGGTCAGTAGCATTTTTGTAGGCGTTTGTTAGTGCCTTGGCCATCTGTTAGCATTTGTTTAGCATTTGGTGAGTTCTGTAACGTTTGCAACAGTCATATGTCTTGTCGCCTGAAGATGGCGCTGGTCACCTGAGGTGACCAGGTGCAGCTAGAGCGCAGCCTTGGCTGTTGATTATCGACCAACTGTCGACTGAGTGTCGATCAAGTTTCAATCACAATGTTGACCAAGTGTCAACTGAGTTTCAGCTGAGTACTGATCAAGATGTTGATAAAGTGCTGATCGAGATGTCGATCGAGTTGATTGAGATGTTAAGAAGTTATTTCTCTGTGTTAGGAATGATTCCGCAAGACCTTGGTAGTTTGTAGATTTGATCTGCTTTGTACCATGATTACTGACAAGCACATTTTGAGCGCACCATTTCAAGACAAAAGACCGTCTTTATAGAACCCCTGAAGTCTTCAAAATATATGCTCAGAAAGTCGATTCGGATTGGTTTACTTGTGCTTAACAATATTAGATCAATAGGAGAGCTCAAAATTCTTCAGGGAGGGTAGGAAAGGTGATTGTTCTCACATGCCTTTTTATGGCCAGTTACGGCCAGCACAGGGATTTGGGGGATAGTTTACAGCTCGCACAGGCATCATTGGGTTAAAGCCTGAAAAAATTTCAGGCTTGAACAGGATTCGAACCCATAACCTCTACGAAACAAAACCAGTGCTTTGCCATCTGAGCGCTGTGACCAGCTCTCATTTGGCTTCACAGTTGGTTGAGCACTGCACCGTTGGAAGCTTCGAATTCCATGTAAGTTTATGAGCTAATTGATAAAACTCTGAACAAAATATTGGCCTGTTAGGCGTTATGCAGGTACGTACTCACAAATCAACATGTTTTATCTACAAGTATGCTTACCTTCGCCAATAACAACTTGTTTCTCGCAACTCTGTAGGACATTACCATCTTCACTTAGTATTTTTAGCTTGACTGCAAGGACACATAGGTAGTGTTAGCCCACTCCATTTCGGGGCAATACAAAAACAACCAAGATATTTTCAAAGTGTGCAGACAATGCTACCTTTACAAGAAGAACCATAATTAGGAGTTTCTAGGCCGGTCCCTTTCCGTTTAACCGTTCTAGACACGGCTGCCACACAAGAATCAACCATTATGATCCGCCATGTTGGGATACTAGAAACGTTCACGTTGATTGGCTTATGAGTTACAAGTTGACCTATTGTAAGACTTGTTATATATCGCGGTAAAAATAGCTTGCCGCTGACCGAGCCGGAAAGACTGTGGGTTCGAGATTGAAGAGAAAGAGGAAGCGTGTGAAGCGTGCGTGTTTGCACGGTGCTGTAAGTGCACGAAAGATTTTCAGGCGGATTTCATGGCTGATACCATCACTAACTGCGGAAATGGTCCGTTATGTGGAAATTGATTATATTTTCAAACATCCATTTGAGGCAGTTAGTCGTGCATACTTTCAAAAGGTAAGTTTTTTGATGTGAGATCTACGGAAATTAACTTACCTGTGTTGAAGGTTAGTCAACTTATTGCCCTTTTCTTTCACACCTTGTTAATTATCATCCGCGATAATTTCCTTTGTACATGTATATACTCTTCTTGTCAAGTTTTAAGCATAGCTATTAAACTGAAACTAAGAGAAAGGGAAGCTCGCTTACAGAAGCTTACTGAATCTAAAGCTTAGCTAATGTACAAACTGCAGTATTGACCTGGCGTGAGGTCAACTCAAGATGGCTAGTTCTTTGTTTGTGTGTGTTTATGGACCAAGATGGAGTCGAGGTCCCTAAACGCAAAATAAATATGGGCCAATATCCAGATATCTTGCATGAAAGAGTAGGTAATATTTATCCTGAGCAAGCAAGATATCACCATCTTGCCTGCTCTGCTAGCCAATGACAGCGCTGGATTTGGTTCGCCTTGCTTGTTCACGGCCACTGTGATGTACACGGTATTTTACAGTGTCTTGGCTGACAAAAGAGACTGTGTTAAAATATGTTGTTGAGTTGGTAGTTGTATATGAGCTACAAGTAAACTTGATTGATTACCTTAAAAGTGTTATAAACCCTCCTTCCTTCCCCCTAATGAGTTCAGCACTCCTGCCTATTTTTTATGAACAATCTTTTCAATTTTATTATGGAAGATTCACTGGCACATTAAACTGTACGTGTATATGTAGCATGCCTTAAAAATCACTTGAGGGTAGTTCAGCATCTTCAGAAAATTATATTTCTTAGCTTGAGTCTGTTCAAGGACACATCAGAAGTGTTTGTTAGCTCATGTGTAGGGTGGACACATGGCCAAGTCAAAGTAAAGACAAAATGCCACCTTTACAACTCTATTGATCTGCATGTTTCTTCTAAAACTTTAATCATCTCATCAAACATGTCAACTTCTTTGGGCCCAATAGGCTAATCATTTGTGTTTTTTTTTGTTTGATGTTGCTGTCGTTTTTTTTTTCTTTTCTTTTTCTTTTTCAGGGGGGGAGGGGGGTGTTTTTGTGAGGATTAATTAAGGGGAGGGTGAAGCATGTTATTTTGGGAGCCTAATTATTTATATCAGAACAAATTTTGCATTTGATGTTCAAAGACTTTATCTTTGTTGTGTTTTTTTCCACCACTTTACATGTATGTGGAACAGTATACTTGTGGTAAAGATACCAATGTCACCTCTGTAACAGTACTGGAACATAGAACAGGTATTCTTTGTTCTACTTCTACTTACGAACTTGTAACCCGATTATTTACACTTTCTCTTAGATTTGTAATACTGTATAGTGATGCAGCAGGAGAAAGTAAATTATATTCATTTAGTCAAGTGTAAGATGTAAGAAAAGCAACCTTCCTTTAACCTTCCTTTAACCATGACAATGTGATTTTGGTACCAGTATTGACCTTCCAAACTGACCACTGAGCTTTGTTATGTTAATAATGTCAAACTCTATTCATTTGTCCCAGAAAATGAATAAATAGGCCCTGTTCATGCAGGGTGGTGTAGGGATTGTACAAGGCCCCTTTCTGACACTAAGAGGCCCACCTACTGTCATTTCAATGAATTACAAAGACAGCCTTGCAGCCTTTAATTTCATTCTTCTTTTCTTAAGACCCAGAAACTGGGGAGGAGTATCTGTTAAGAAGAGGAGAATGTGTGAATGTTTTACCAGGTCTGCTTAAAAAGGTATGTCAAGGCTTTTTGAGTAAGACTATCATGTATACAGTACATGTACAAGTCTGTTACCGAGAATGCTGCATTTTGCCTGACTTTAGAGATTACTTGAGGAAGAACTTATGTCTGTCACTTTTAGACAGAAAAAGAGTACTTTTTACACGATATAGGCCCTTTGCAGCTGGGGTCACATGACCAAATTTTTTCTAGGAAATTTTTATATTATGGGCTTTAACTTAAAGGGACACAGTCAGCTGGAGCACATGCGCATTAGATGCCATTTCATAGCTAATTTGCATATCACAGTTTTCGATTTTGGTTCGATTATTTGCATACCTTTCCCAGAATGCCCTCAGTGAGTTATTATATTGTGAAATTAGAATCCTGAACTCTTTAAAATGTGCGTTTTTGATTGATGAGTAAAGACATTTGCAATTCGTGTACCATTTTGTGTTGTTGTTTACATTGTGTATCATGTTGTTAGAATTAAAAACCATTAATATTTTGTATAATCGAATTGAAATAATCGAAATCGAAAGGCAATAATTGAAATTGAATCAAATCAAAGGAATATGAATTGTTACAAGCCTACAGGTAAGTTGTACACTGAGAATATTAAAACTCTATTCAAACTGACAAACTAACTATTTTATGTTGCCCATAAAAGAAATACAGTATGGAATAGTGACTTCTCTTTAAATTACTGGAAAATTATAGTCATCAACAGCCAGGAGAAGAATTTTAGGCTGCAATATTTTTTATTCTTCAGTGAAGTGGTAGATGTTATAGATACTTTACACTCAAATTTCTGCTCTACTCTCTCTTTCCTTTCCCCCTCCTTCTACTTCTACTCCTGAAAATCTTTATGGCATGTATTACCCTCCTATATATAGTTAAATGAAATTTAACATAGTTAATGACTAGGAGCTAGTCTGGTCAGTAGCGTTGTTATAGGCGGTTGTTAGTGTCTTGGCCATCTGTGAGCGTTTGGTTAGCGTTTGATGCGTTTTGTAGCTTTTGATATAGTTCAATGAAATTTTACATAGTTTATGACCAGGAGCGAGTCTGGTCAGTAGCATTTTTGTAGGCGTTTGTTAGTGCCTTGGCCATCTGTTAGCATTTGTTTAGCGTTTGGTGAGTTCTGTAACGTTTGCAACAGTCATATGTCTTGTCGCCTGAAGATGGCGCTGGTCACCTGAGGTGACCAGGTGCAGCTAGAGCGCAGCCTTGGCTGTTGATTATCGACCAACTGTCGACTGAGTGTCGATCAAGTTTCAATCACAATGTTGACCAAGTGTCAACTGAGTTTCAGCTGAGTACTGATCAAGATGTTGATAAAGTGCTGATCGAGATGTCGATCGAGTTGATTGAGATGTTAAGAAGTTATTTCTCTGTGTTAGGAATGATTCCGCAAGACCTTGGTAGTTTGTAGATTTGATCTGCTTTGTACCATGATTACTGACAAGCACATTTTGAGCGCACCATTTCAAGACAAAAGACCGTCTTTATAGAACCCCTGAAGTCTTCAAAATATATGCTCAGAAAGTCGATTCGGATTGGTTTACTTGTGCTTAACAATATTAGATCAATAGGAGAGCTCAAAATTCTTCAGGGAGGGTAGGAAAGGTGATTGTTCTCACATGCCTTTTTATGGCCAGTTACGGCCAGCACAGGGATTTGGGGGATAGTTTACAGCTCGCACAGGCATCATTGGGTTAAAGCCTGAAAAAATTTCAGGCTTGAACAGGATTCGAACCCATAACCTCTACGAAACAAAACCAGTGCTTTGCCATCTGAGCGCTGTGACCAGCTCTCATTTGGCTTCACAGTTGGTTGAGCACTGCACCGTTGGAAGCTTCGAATTCCATGTAAGTTTATGAGCTAATTGATAAAACTCTGAACAAAATATTGGCCTGTTAGGCGTTATGCAGGTACGTACTCACAAATCAACATGTTTTATCTACAAGTATGCTTACCTTCGCCAATAACAACTTGTTTCTCGCAACTCTGTAGGACATTACCATCTTCACTTAGTATTTTTAGCTTGACTGCAAGGACACATAGGTAGTGTTAGCCCACTCCATTTCGGGGCAATACAAAAACAACCAAGATATTTTCAAAGTGTGCAGACAATGCTACCTTTACAAGAAGAACCATAATTAGGAGTTTCTAGGCCGGTCCCTTTCCGTTTAACCGTTCTAGACACGGCTGCCACACAAGAATCAACCATTATGATCCGCCATGTTGGGATACTAGAAACGTTCACGTTGATTGGCTTATGAGTTACAAGTTGACCTATTGTAAGACTTGTTATATATCGCGGTAAAAATAGCTTGCCGCTGACCGAGCCGGAAAGACTGTGGGTTCGAGATTGAAGAGAAAGAGGAAGCGTGTGAAGCGTGCGTGTTTGCACGGTGCTGTAAGTGCACGAAAGATTTTCAGGCGGATTTCATGGCTGATACCATCACTAACTGCGGAAATGGTCCGTTATGTGGAAATTGATTATATTTTCAAACATCCATTTGAGGCAGTTAGTCGTGCATACTTTCAAAAGGTAAGTTTTTTGATGTGAGATCTACGGAAATTAACTTACCTGTGTTGAAGGTTAGTCAACTTATTGCCCTTTTCTTTCACACCTTGTTAATTATCATCCGCGATAATTTCCTTTGTACATGTATATACTCTTCTTGTCAAGTTTTAAGCATAGCTATTAAACTGAAACTAAGAGAAAGGGAAGCTCGCTTACAGAAGCTTACTGAATCTAAAGCTTAGCTAATGTACAAACTGCAGTATTGACCTGGCGTGAGGTCAACTCAAGATGGCTAGTTCTTTGTTTGTGTGTGTTTATGGACCAAGATGGAGTCGAGGTCCCTAAACGCAAAATAAATATGGGCCAATATCCAGATATCTTGCATGAAAGAGTAGGTAATATTTATCCTGAGCAAGCAAGATATCACCATCTTGCCTGCTCTGCTAGCCAATGACAGCGCTGGATTTGGTTCGCCTTGCTTGTTCACGGCCACTGTGATGTACACGGTATTTTACAGTGTCTTGGCTGACAAAAGAGACTGTGTTAAAATATGTTGTTGAGTTGGTAGTTGTATATGAGCTACAAGTAAACTTGATTGATTACCTTAAAAGTGTTATAAACCCTCCTTCCTTCCCCCTAATGAGTTCAGCACTCCTGCCTATTTTTTATGAACAATCTTTTCAATTTTATTATGGAAGATTCACTGGCACATTAAACTGTACGTGTATATGTAGCATGCCTTAAAAATCACTTGAGGGTAGTTCAGCATCTTCAGAAAATTATATTTCTTAGCTTGAGTCTGTTCAAGGACACATCAGAAGTGTTTGTTAGCTCATGTGTAGGGTGGACACATGGCCAAGTCAAAGTAAAGACAAAATGCCACCTTTACAACTCTATTGATCTGCATGTTTCTTCTAAAACTTTAATCATCTCATCAAACATGTCAACTTCTTTGGGCCCAATAGGCTAATCATTTGTGTTTTTTTTTGTTTGATGTTGCTGTCGTTTTTTTTTTCTTTTCTTTTTCTTTTTCAGGGGGGGAGGGGGGTGTTTTTGTGAGGATTAATTAAGGGGAGGGTGAAGCATGTTATTTTGGGAGCCTAATTATTTATATCAGAACAAATTTTGCATTTGATGTTCAAAGACTTTATCTTTGTTGTGTTTTTTTCCACCACTTTACATGTATGTGGAACAGTATACTTGTGGTAAAGATACCAATGTCACCTCTGTAACAGTACTGGAACATAGAACAGGTATTCTTTGTTCTACTTCTACTTACGAACTTGTAACCCGATTATTTACACTTTCTCTTAGATTTGTAATACTGTATAGTGATGCAGCAGGAGAAAGTAAATTATATTCATTTAGTCAAGTGTAAGATGTAAGAAAAGCAACCTTCCTTTAACCTTCCTTTAACCATGACAATGTGATTTTGGTACCAGTATTGACCTTCCAAACTGACCACTGAGCTTTGTTATGTTAATAATGTCAAACTCTATTCATTTGTCCCAGAAAATGAATAAATAGGCCCTGTTCATGCAGGGTGGTGTAGGGATTGTACAAGGCCCCTTTCTGACACTAAGAGGCCCACCTACTGTCATTTCAATGAATTACAAAGACAGCCTTGCAGCCTTTAATTTCATTCTTCTTTTCTTAAGACCCAGAAACTGGGGAGGAGTATCTGTTAAGAAGAGGAGAATGTGTGAATGTTTTACCAGGTCTGCTTAAAAAGGTATGTCAAGGCTTTTTGAGTAAGACTATCATGTATACAGTACATGTACAAGTCTGTTACCGAGAATGCTGCATTTTGCCTGACTTTAGAGATTACTTGAGGAAGAACTTATGTCTGTCACTTTTAGACAGAAAAAGAGTACTTTTTACACGATATAGGCCCTTTGCAGCTGGGGTCACATGACCAAATTTTTTCTAGGAAATTTTTATATTATGGGCTTTAACTTAAAGGGACACAGTCAGCTGGAGCACATGCGCATTAGATGCCATTTCATAGCTAATTTGCATATCACAGAGACGCGATCCATAATGTTTTTAACCAAATATGATAAAAATAGTATAATAGAATGAGCAAAAGCACACTCAAAAACAGGCTATTCAGTAAACGATTGAAAATCAAGCAAAACGCTGTGAAGATTGAAGCAGATTTCTAGATGTACTTTGATTTCAGGTTGAGGTGAACTTTTTTCAAAATGAAAAAACTAGTGTCCAGGTCAGCGCGGTCCCAAAGCTGACTGTGTCCTTTTAAAGAATGCCAGAAATGGAAAGAGCGTATCGAAAATACCAAAATGGACAAATTTGAGGTCCCTGGAATTAAAGAGTAAGTTCATACGACAGTTTGAATTTTTGGAAAATTTAGATAATTTGTATGTAAAATGTTGCAGGAGAGCAAGGTCTTGCTCTCCAGCAACTTTTTCCATACAAATCTTCTTATTCTTTTAAAAATTCGGACTGTCATAAAATCTCCTTCTTTAATGATGGGGGCCTCAAACTTGGCCATTTTGATATTTTCGACATACTTTTTCCATTTCTGGCATTCGTTACATTATAGCCCATAATTTTATGAAAAAATAGGTCACGTGATGGCTTAGCTGCAAAGGGCCTATTGTGTGGTTTTATACTGAGCCAAAATGAGAATTGTAGATTATACTTTCAATAAACATGTAGTTAACTTAATATTTGGCCTAACTTGGCTAATTCTTTCCTTAAGACTTGGCGCCTGCCAATTAGCCCCAGTGCATGGTCTGATTCAGCTGTAACTACTGTTAAACAGTTTTCAAAACTTGGGCTGCTAAAGGAATTTGTTATGTACCTCAGTCTTATTGATCTCTGAGGGATAAATTATTCTACCTTTCCTACTGCAAAGAATTCTACAGGCTAGTAATTCATGCTTACCTCTAATCCTATGTTGTAAAACACCCATTGAAAACAATAAATGCTAAATCTTAGTTTTGAGCCAATGATAGATAATTTACAAGTATTATAAATATTTCCAAGTGGAATGATAATCTTATCATTGTTTCTAGCTGTGTCCTTTCTCAGCCATTGAGGTAGAGGAAGAAGCATGGCTGAACAGAAAAGACAGATGTCTTCGTCTTCACAGTTATAACCTGACATGGTCCAAATATGCCTCCCTGGAAGAGTTCAGCACTTACAGAGCTTGCGGCAACAATCCAGACTGGTGTGTAGCTGAATATTTACAGCCAAGTAACTTGTTAATATGTAGGTATTTTAATAGCTACATATTAACAAGTTAAAAAATTTAAAAATCCTTTGTGACTAAGCAATTCAGTGCCTTTTCATTATCAAGCCAAGGAATGTAACTGTCTACAATAAACCCTGTTTTTTTGTGTAAGACTTTTATTAATAGATGGTTAATTCACTGTCACGCAATAAAAAATTAAGTCAAAAACCATCCAGTAGATGAAGTCAAGAAATTCCAATATTATGGATTGTGAACATAAATAGAGAAGTCCTTGATGTGTTATTCCAAACTTCAGATATTCATCAAAATATTGTACACAAACTTGTAGTTTAGACCAGTATGGAGCTGCCATATTGCTCTACCTGAATGGTGCACTATTAAGGTGAACGAAAAGGAGTGTAAACATCTGGAACTTACTTACTTACTGGGTACGGCAAGGAAAACGGCGAACAAAAAGATAGGGGAGAAGCGCGGGTAGAGAAAGTGAACCCCCAAACTAACTGAACGCCTGGAAGAGACTACTTATTTAGGTGACTGATTATCTCTACTAAGCAAAAAAAAAAAAAAACAATTACAATCCTTATCTTTCTCTAGGACAAAATTTGAACAGCATGGTTCTATCAATGTTTATGGTGTTGGCTCGTTGATTGGTGGAATGATGGAAGCTTTTGGACAGACGTTTCTTCAACGTGGAGCTAAAAAGGTAGCTTTCCTCTAATTTTAAGCTATGATTTATTGTGAATAATTTTCATCTCATCAATCATTCTTACGTGATGAATTTTCGTTACTCCAACTCCTGAGCAATGTTCAGAAAGATACAGGTTCAAACTGCTGCATGTAAGTTCTCGTGAAATGAAAGAGGGTGTTACATGTACTCTTTTGGGCTTTATAATTGTTACAACGGCTCCTGCCAAGAGTAGCAGGAGCATATAAAATGCAGTCATGTCCAACAACAGTACTTCAAAAATTTTCTTTCAATTTCTAAGAACTTTTATAGATTTTTGATAAAACAGTGACATGAGGACATTTTGAAATGCAAACAAGCCACCCAACTGATCATGACCCTCCCCCCTCCCTCCTCTGCCCCTGCCCCAAGGGCTTCATTTAACTCTTTCATGCACTTTATAACAGTATAATGTTTTTTGGTCAGTTGATCTATTTGGTAATTGCTTCCTGATAATTTCCATCCTATTACCTCGCAGGGCTTCCACATTATGGAAGATCTCATAATGACTATGAGCGGAATATACACTGAAGCATAAAAGAATCAGCCTCAAACAAAATGCTTTCCCACTCAAGCTCTGCTCGTCTGTCGTGCTTGCCATTTGCTCACTCAATAAGTACTTCTCTCATCGATTGAAAGATTCTTTTTCAACGTTATGGACTATACATTTTCTTGTATATGAGCAAAATTCAACTGCCACACCCGGCTTAAATACACGAAAACAAACGTGCAGAATGTAGAGAGATGTTGAGGAAGATTCTTTAACAAATCCAATAACACTACAACAGAAGGGATGAAATGTCTGTTGCTTGAAAAGCCTTAATTTACGTCCTTTCTGAGAAAATAAAATGTAACACATGCATAACAAGAAGATAATAAAAAGAAATATTTTGCTTGGCCATACTGGTTTGCTGTTTCAGTTAACTGATCTACAAAATCGGAGACGGTATAAAGCCCCTAACGTCTCTCTGACAGACTGAAAAGAGTGGGTCGTGAAATACAAGCATCCAAACATATACAGTGGGATAACGTCTCCATTTTGAAATAGGGTTGTAAAAGTTATAAAAACAAATACACCAAACGGCAAAGAGTTAGGTCAAGAAACTGTTCCAGATGGTTAAAGTGGGTTGGTGAAAATTATAGACTCACATCGGTTAAGCAATGAGGTGGCAGTAAAGCTCAAATGATTATATATTTAAGTCGTAATATAGTTGAGTGATCGCAATCGAAGAATGTCTTCACAAATCGAGAACATTGGCGTAGTCTAACACTAACAGTAATCAGGGCTTAAAGCTGGCACAAAATAACCATTATGAAAATAAAAGGTGTCACTGTTACACCTGGTTAGTATTGTAGCTCTTTCCATACACCAAATCCAGGGATGAAATAATATATTCTGGATTGTTCAGTGTGACACCGTAGTGACCAAATTAGAGTGAACTGGTAATAAAGTACCTAGGTTTCTTCCTCTCCGCTACGCTGTTTTCTACATGTAGCTGTTGACTGCATGTCGGCTGCTTTAGCGAATAGAGGTTGTTTGCAACCGTAAGATATCTTGCAGCATACTAATGGTTTAATTTGATTCTTTCGTTTTGTTGTTGTTGTTGTTGTTGTTGTTGTTGTTGTTGTTGTTGTTGTTGTTGTTGGCAATCTTGTTAATTAGACAAAGACCAGCTTAGACTAATTCACACCCTGTTAGTCACGAGCAATTTAAGTAAAAAAGTGAAGCCTCTTAAACCCAATTGACAGGGTCATCGCAGCATTTTGTCAGCTCACAATAAGTCGTCGTGTTTCTCAATGAAACACCTTGGTAGAGAAAGACACACGGTGATGGAGAGCTTATTATGAGGCCCGGTACGACAGTGAAAAGCAAAGTAGTTGCAAACATAAAAGGTTTCCTTTACCAGCAAATAATGAGACTCGTATTTATTGATAATATGCTTTTTTAAATTGTATTATTTTTAGACACATTTTTGTTATATTTGTACTGCAATCTTAATCTTGCATTGTAAAGCGGTTTAGAATATTTTAAAATTTTAGCGCTATATAAATCTATTATTATTATTATTATTATTATTATTATTATCAGTATCAGTATCAGTTTCAGTTTCCGTTTCAGTAGCATTATCATTATCATCATTATCATTATCATTATTATTGATGATTGGCTAGCGTAAGGAGCGGTATCCTCTCTTGTCAGCGCTAGCTTTTGCTTGTTTAATAACATTAATGAATGAAGTATTAAGAGTAAATTCTGGGGGAAACGTATACTCGGAAAAAATCCGAGTCCCAGATGGGATTCGAACTCACGACCCTCCGTGATCTAGTCGGATGCTCTAACCACTGAGCTACTGCAGACTCTATGGTGAGCAAGGGTCAAATTCTGGGTAGTAGGTCAGTGGTTAGAGCATTCGACTAGATCACAGAGGGTCGTGGGGAATCCCATCTGAGACTCGGATTTTTTCCGAGTATACGTTTCTCCCAGAATTTACACTTAATATAATGTTGTTGTTTCTCCGTTAGAATGAAGTATTGTAGTAAGAATTTCCAGTACTGTTATTGAGAAAGAAGATCAGCCACAATTCGATGACTAGCTCTGACTACATACAGCCAAGCAGATAGTGCAAGTGTTTCCGTTTAACCTTGATCTATAGTGAATATCGAATTTATCCTTTATT